ACACACACACTCGCAGACACTCACACACACACACACTCTCACACAGACACACACTCTCACACAGACACTCACTCTCACACAGACACTCACTCTCACACACACAAACACTCACACAGAGACACTCACACACACACAGACACACACTCACACAGACACTCACACACAAACACTCTCTCTCTCACACACACACACACACACTCACACAGACAAACACTCACACAGAGACACACACACACACACACACACAGAGAGAGACACTCACACACACACACAGAGACAGACACTCACACTCACACACAGAGACAGACACTCACACTCACACACAGAGACAGACACTCACACTCACACACAGAGACAGACACTCACACTCACACACAGAGACAGACACTCACACTCACACACAGAGACAGACACTCACACTCACACACAGAGACAGACACTCACACTCACACACAGAGACAGACACTCACACTCACACACAGAGACAGACACTCACACACACACACAGACACACACACACACTCACTCTCTCTCTCTCTCTCTCTCTCACACACACACACACACACTCACACAGACAAACACTCACACAGAGACACACACACACACACACACACACACACACACACACACACACACACACACACCCCACAAAAAATCACGACCACACACAGAGACAGACACTCACACACACACACACACACACACACAGACACACACACACACACACACACCTCAAAAAATCACGGCAGGCGCTGGACTGAAGAACTGAGCTAGCATGAAGCCTCAGATCAGCTGTCAATCAATCAGTGATCAATGAGCGACGCGACAGCGCGGAACCCGAGCTCAACGCTAGCGTACTAACTGAATGTGGGTAACTCGTGCGATTAGTCGTTAGTGATGAACTTTACTCGATAATCAGAGAATCTGGCCTTCTTCGAGCGACGCGACGCAACTCTGGAGAAACTCTCGGCCAGGGAGCGTCGCGGAACGCGGACAACGCTTCAGAGTGACGCTCGACGCGTCCGCCGACGAACACCGAGCTACTCACCGTTCGCGTGCGAGCCTCCGGCGCCGTTCTGTGACGCGAAGCCGCCGCTGGACATCCTGAAGCCGCGCAGGGTCTCTCCGGTGCGTGACGCGCTCACAGGCCCGCGGCTCCGGCCGTTCTCTCGACGCGTCGCCTGATGTCGCGCTGATCAACCAGAGCCTTCCTCTCAGCGGAAGTCAAGCGGGAGCACGGAGACCGCGCATGCGCAGTAGGTACACGTGGCATTTCCTGTGGAGCGCCGCTTTCGGCCGTACTGGAAACACGAGTCCGGCCACAGGTGCGTTTGGACGCTTAGTTTCAGGTTTTAGGATGACTGCTACACCCCAGAGAAGCTGCTATTATAAGCACTTCCAAACAAACACACGCAGTGTGATATTATGGGAGGAATGCAAAGTTTAAGATTTAATTATTATATTACTACAATAGCACAAACTGCGTGTTAAATGGACTAAAACACTCCTTTATTTAAACATTTTACAATTGAGGTCAGGACCGGAGAATTATATCGAAATGTAATCCTGTTTACTTTGTAGTTCATGTGATTGGTTATGACTAGATTTGTGTGTGTGGTTTAGCTCTGTATGATCACTTTCGTGCTAAAGTTCTTAAGTCTTTAAGTAAAGCATTTTCACTGCAGTACTCGAGAGAGAAAAACAGTTTCCAATGAGATTTTTCAAAGTATGTTGGTTCGAACAATAATGTGCACACGAAAATTACTTACTAAACACGAACAACTAATAAAGAAAGTGTGAGTCACGGCCTGTGTGTGTGTGTGAGAGAGAGTGTGTGTGTGTGAGAGAGAGAGTGTGTGAGAGAGAGTGTGTGTGTGTGTGTGTGAGAGAGAGAGTGTGTGAGAGAGAGTGTGTGTGTGTGTG